ACAGAGAGCCCCGAGCCAAGCCAGGACAGACCGCAGGGCTCCGTAATGCAGGTACTGGTCTGTGAGTCTTTGCCTCCGTAAGAGAAGGCTTTTTAAGACCTGGCTACAACGTGATAATTTGAGAACTGCAAACTATTTGACTCCACTACTCCTGACCAGCTGAATCGTTTGCTTACTGGAACCGCATCCCTGCTCTAAGCCTATGCCAGCAGCCGGGCTATCCGTGTGCTAGCATCGCCGGAGCTGCGCCACTGCTTGGTGGGAGACTCCAGGGCGCGAGGCGGGGAGCCGGGAGGGCTGCTGCACCCTGCACCCTCCCGACTTCACCGCTGCTGATCGCAGCTCTTGGATCTCTCCCCCACCCAATTCTTATACAAACATTTAAAACCAGCAGGCAGGGAAAGGCACAAAGCGGGAGACATAAGGAGCGCAAAGCCTCACAGACGCGCACAAAGCACAAAATGCCTCTTCTGCCAGTTCAAAAACTCTTCCCAGCCACTTGCGCTAGGCAGGAGGTGCATGAGCAGGGATGCAGCGCTCCCCTCCTACTGAGCTCGCAGCTAAAGCCCTCCCCCAGTTCCCAGGGTCTTCAAATGAAGATTTGCATAGTACTTCCAGATCATTCCCGAGAGAAGGGACAATGGCTCTCTCACCGCCCTCTTCCCCCCTCCCTCCTTCACTTAGGAAGCCGATAAAGCCCTGGTGGAAAGGGGAACAAAGGATTTACAGATGGCAGAATATCGATTTCTGCAGTTGCAGGACTGCAGGGAGAAGATGAAGAACCCCCCAGAAACTCTGTGAAGTTTGAGACACAGGCGCTGTCTCTGCAGCACGAACCCCGCGTTCGTTAAGAGAGTATCTGAGGGAGGAAACCTTGCTATGGGAGAGGGACGAGCAGGTCCCTGAAAACTTGAAAATACAGAGAGATGAGATTACAGCCTGAAGCCCCAGCGAGCACGTTTGTTGTTCCCAAACCTCCTAAACGGAAAGGCGCTTCCAGTGAAAGCAGTTTGCCACCAGGCGGGCCAGTCCGGCATTGCTCCGAGAGCCTTCGGCCCCAGCTGACGGCTTTTATAAACTGCATCTCATCAGCGATTCATGCTGTTCTCCGTGTCCTCTTCTCCCCTCCATCCACCCCAGCAGCTAGGAAAAATAAGAAAAAGAAAAGTGAAGGATGAGTCTTTGGAAAGCGGCCTTTGATTCTGAATTAGTGGAACCTCCCTGCCTCAGAACTCACCAACTTTAGGGCCATTACCTGAAAGCCAAAGTTTCCTGCCTCCACAAGCCTTTCTGTCCTTAGCACATATAAACCCAAGCTTTATTTTGTGCTACAAATATTCTTTTTCAGCTTAGCGAGTCCACTCCCCTCCGCTGAACACCAGCTCGCCGCAATCGTTCACATTTTGCTAAGCTGAACAGCGATACGATCCAAAGGGTCCAAATCGGATGGTGCACGTCCCTGCTGCGTACCCACCAGGAGACGTTTGCTGGGGAGCCGAGTCAGGCTACAGGCGTTCTGCCCTGCCTCCCACCCCCCGAAAACAGCTTTCTCAAAGCGACTGCCTACCAGCACTTTATTTTTCCCCTTTTCCTTTTGCAGAGCTAACTTCGTAGCATTTCTGCACTCAGGAGGCTCCCAGGATGCCGGATCTTTTGGAAAAATGTTGAAACTTCCTCAAAACATTGGATTTAGGACCGGATTTTGAAAGGTGATAAGCTATTTTCTAAATCAAGCTATAGGCTTTGGAAAAACTCAGGTTAAGTCCCTTCTGCAAGGCAACAGTGCACACCAGTGAGCGCAAGAGGGGTTCCCACGCCACAGGTCAATAATCCAGAGCTACCGGGCCAGCGGCAGAGCCGGCTGTTCCTTCACCGCTATCTTCCCCACACCTTTGTAAAAAACACGTGCTGTCAGGATGAGCGTGATCATCCCAGTGACAATAACGATGACGTACTGCGCAGTTAAACGTTTCATACAACTGTATCAAAACATTCTTCACAATACTTTTTAAAATGTCTAGGTTCCTCCAAATACCTGTCTGTCTTACCTCAGTGAGAAGAAATTTTTCACATGGAATCTTTTGTGCCTTCTAGCAGTCGCTCCCAATTTACACCACGTTTAAAGAGGAGGTGAATCGGACCCGTGAGACTCCCGACACACTAATGTGGAGCTGCATCGCAGCTGCTGGGATGACGCCGCCTAAGGAAGCCCCACTTTAAAGCAGAGTAACTCAGGCCGTAGTGCAACTGCCACCGTGCTCAGGTTCAGGGCAGACCTGAACCCCGTTTTCAGTTGCTCTCCACGAGCCCCTTGGAGCTCCGTGGGTGGAAGAAGCGCTCGCAAGGAGCTTCTTTTAACCTGGGGCAGCTGTGCTGAGAGTTGCCGCTACTACGTACTGCGCCCTGCGAGCATTTTCTTCTCTGAACAGCGTTTTCAAGACTGTCAGAAGAGTGAAGGTGCCAGGGAGAACGAGGGAGAAGCACACCTCGGCTGCTCTCACCTGCTGCTGAACGCTTGCATGTTGTCTTCTGAGGCTACTGCAGCAAAACAAGCTCTTTTTATTTCAGAGAGCACCACTTGATGCTTCTTTCCTCATCCTAGACAGAAGTTTGCTTCTTGTTTTGCTGATCCTTTTTTGTTTTCTCTCCTTTGTAAACATTCGTGTCTGTTGCTTACTTTTTGTTCTTTTTGCTACAAACAAGGGTAGTTTTGTTTACATAGCTCCTACTATAAAAACAACACCGTAATTTGCTTTAGGATACAGAACTTAGTCTTGGTTTCATCACTTAAATAATATACAAAATAATTCTTGCATCTCCTGTTGCCAAGAAAAGTCACATGCAAATCCCTTTTTTAAGTCTGATATGACATATCTCATAAGCCTGAATCCAAAGGATGCAGGTGGAGAAAGGCAAAATCTACCTCCAACGTGGACAAGAACTTCATGACATAACGTTCCCAGCCTCATTCAGCGTGCACACGGTGACGCACACGGTGAGCTGCAGTGGTTTCAGGTCTGTCCTGTACAAAGTGCATCAGGTCGAGGAGGACAGAAGAACACAACGCCAGCAGGGAATAACTTCTCCTTTCAGTATGGAAGCAAGACTGTTCTTAAAATGATTTATTAAATGAAATAATATGAAAGCAAATTACTGGAAGAGGTAACTGTGATTTAAAAATGAAGATAGTAACAAACCAAAGTACTTATTAACAGTTTACACTGCAAAGATACAGTAAACATAAACAACTGAGCAATGTTTTTCTGCCAAGGTATATTTCACAACAGCCTTCCAAGATCCCGGCCACCTTACCATTCCTACATGCTACTCAGTAAATTTGACACCACAAGCCCTGCTCCAAGTGGAAAAGGGAAAAGGAACCACACTCCCCAGCAGCAAACACAGCTCCCCGCCACCTCACAACCCTGCTGTAACAGCAACTCAGCCGCGCCACGCGCCTTGGTCTTGCCAACAGAAAAGCGATCGGTTTTGTGGGCCCAAGGCGAAATGCGAGCCTGTGCCACCCCCAGAGCGGCACCATGTAACAGCATAACCCCAAGGCAGCAGAGCCGGCTATACAAACAGAGCTCTTGCACTTCCCTTCAGCTCCTCTTCGTTTTTCACAGATGCTGACTTCATCTGGCAGAACCTCTTCCTTCTCCTTCCACAAATACACCTTGTTAGGAAGAAAATACAACCCCTTCACCATCATTCGCTCACAGACCAGACCTTACCACCGCCCCTTCCCGAAAGCCCCGTTGCTCTGCTTTCCCGCTCCATCCGCCTTGCCCACTGCAGCAGCCCTCGTCTTACCGCGGGGTTTTAAGTGTCTGAAAGCGTGCTCTCCATCTACACGGCTTCTACCAAAGGTCAAACAGCCAACCATCAGGCTGCAATAAAGAATTATAATAAAACAGGATCTAGACGCTTGCAAATTAATTACGATTTTTCTTTTTTCCCTGGAGATCTTATGTTTATTCAAGTGATGTTACTATTTCAGGAGAATCATCCCAGGAATCCACTAAATTAAGAACGTATCAGTGGTTACGGAAGCGCATTTCCTTAATGACAAACATCTTTCTACTGTTATGATTGAAACAGTTTTCATATCCCAACGATAGGACTGGTCCCTCATGTGAAAAAGTCACTTTAACAGATATAACAAACACAATCCCTTCTCTGTTGTTGCATAAAAGGAACTTAAACACAGCTGCGCAATTGCTTCACCGCCAGGAAATTCCAGGTAGGACGCCAGGGCTGCCTCCACTGAACACACGGGCTGTGGGACTCGCTCACAGACACCCACCCCGGCAGCCCTCCCTCCTCAGCCTCCCCTGGCCGCAACGCCACAGAGCGGCGTGTTTCCTTCTGCTCCCAGAGCTGCGTGGTCACAGGTCCCGTCCCGTCCCGTCAGCACAGCCCCCCCACCCCGAGGAGCCCATCGGCCCCCCTCACGCCCGGGACGCCCCCACAGCGCAGCCCCGACGGCAGCCCCAACCCCGGCGCCTCCGCGCCAAAAACGCGCC